AWYYKGSCCYKGSYCYWRAARYGTGTACCTGGCCACAAAACGGACAACAGTACAACCGTTAGAAAAACAGCAGCAAATAAATAAATAAAAGAATATAAAAATAATCTAAAGCTGGCGTTTTTCTGATGCAGGCCCAAGTAAAAATGCCATAGGGCCTTCAGGTTGCGGTGACGCGACCTGGGGGCCCTATTCCAACCTCGGGTCCCRTGAGGGGCCCGTGTGTAGGCTTTCAGCATGTAACACGCCCCCCTCCTTATGAAGACGAGCCGGGGCGCGGGCGAAGCTGCCGATCCGATGGCGGAATGTAGCGAGGAAGGCGAGGAGCTGGAGTGCTCGGCATAGTCTTCCCTTTGCTAAGATAACGTGAGAGAACTGCGGGAGCTGTGGCCTGCAGTTCCGAACGYGTCAGCCAACGGTCAGCCTTGTGGCTGCAGTAGGAAAAGTGAAGTAGAAACTYTGTTTCTTTGTTGCCATGGCGCCGGTCGGTGATGATGTAGCCGGCCTCCTGAAATCCGTCCATGGAAGGAGGGTCTTGCGTACGTCGACCGGGAAACTCGTCGGACTCCGCTGAGACGAAAGGAGCGAGTTTGGAACARTGGAACACCGTGTGGACGGGCAAGTGAGGTGGCTCCGTGATGCGGAATGAAGGCCCCTCGGGATCATCACCAACTGCAGAGAGAATGCGCCAAGGCCCCATCCACTTGGGAAGGAGCTTGCGAGAGATGTCTTGCTCRAGGYTGAACTCCGCGGCGGAGACCCAAACCAGATCGCCGRCGCGGAAYGGGCAAGGAAGGCGATTGCGGTTGGCTTRACGRCTCRTCCGTATTTGCGTCTTCGACATCTGATCCCGTGCCTTGACRAGAASCTCTTGCATGCGACGAAGGAACGCAAGATGGTCGTCGCTCTCGRCTGTGCGYGRCAAAGTGGCGTCCAGCGGCGATGAGATGGGTGAACCATGCTCAAACTCGAATGGCGACATCCCGATAGCCGGATGGATCGATGAGTTGTAAGCCAACTCAACGTCTGAACTCAACGTCTGGCAAGCGCTCAACCCAATCAACCTGGTCGGGACGGATGAGAGTGCGTAGAAGGACTTGAGCGGTCTGATGCGCCCTTTCCGTTTGACCATCGGTTTGCGGGTGGCGAGCCGAACTCGGCTTCAAAGATGAGCCCCATCGCTTGACGTGGGCGACCCAAAAGTCGGAGAGAAAGCGAGTGTCCCGGTCGCAAATGATCTCCTTGGGGTAGCCCTTGGAGCGAATCCAACCAGTGTATAAGACCTCGGCTAACTCCGGTGCCTTTGCGTGATAGCGGCAAGGCAAAAACATGGCGTACTTGGTGAGGCAGTCGACGATTGCGAGGATCCCATCAACGTCGGTCTTGTGTTTCGGGAAGGGGCCGGTGATATCCATAGCAATTGCTTCCCGTCGCCCAAGGGGCACTGGTAGTGGGTGTAGCTTGCCGAACGGACGATGGTTGCGTGACTTGCAACGCCGACAGACTTCGCACGACTCACAATAGCGGGTGGCGTCCTTGAGAAGGTCGGGCCAATAGAACCGCTGGCGAAGTCGGCCAAGTGTACAGTTGACACCAAAATGTCCGGAGGCGGGTGCATCGTGAAACTCACCAAGAAGCCGTGTGCGCAAGTGTGAATCATTCGGCACACAAAGAAGATCCTTACCCCGTGAATGCACAAGTAGCCCTAGGCACCGGATTTGGAGAGGAGCAATTTGTGTACTTGTCGCGAAAGTGGGGGTCGGCTTGATAGCCGCGGATGAAGCTCTCCCGCAAGTCGTCGTCGATCTCGAAGGTAGAGTAGACTGCGGTGCAAAGATCCGGTCGCTGTGAGAGGGCGTCCGCAAAACGGTTTGACTTCCCGGGAATGTGATCGGGGAAAAAGTCAAACTGGTCGATGAAAGTCATCCAACGGGCAATGGTACTGTTAATCGTGTCTTGCGACTTGTAGAATACCAACGGATTGTTATCCGTTACCCATCGGAATGCTTTCCGACCAAGGAGGAAATGTCGCCAACGCTTTAGGGCGTGGACGAAGGCAAGAAGCTCCTTCTTTCGTGCGTCATCGATCGAATGCACGAGAGGTACTTTCTTGCTAAAGTACTCGACCAGGTGCCAGTCCGTGCCATCGTGCTGCTCAAGGACGGCCCCAATGCCATAGCCCGACGCATCGGTAGTGACGCGCGTAGCTAGAAGCGGGTCGTAAATATGTAACACATCCGCGGACAAGAGTGCCGCTTTGAGTGTTTCAAAAGAATGGCGCGCGTCATCGTCGAAGTCAAAAGGCCGCTCCTCGCTTTGTAACGTGCTTAGGTTGGCCGCGATCTTCGAGTTAACCCTTGATGAAGCGCTGATAATAACCGGCCAAGCCGAGGAAGGATCGAACGTCCGTCACATTCTTCGGCTCGGGCCACTCCTGGATGGCTTGAATCTTGTCCGCCAACGGACGAATGTCTTTCGGAGAGACAAAATGACCCAAGTATTCAAGCTTTTGCCGGACAAACTCGCATTTGTCGCGGTTAGCTTTGTACAGGGCTGACCGAAGAGTCTCTAGAACACGGCGAAGGTGCTCGAGATGCTCCTCTAGAGTTCGGCTATAGACGAGGATGTCGTCTAAGTAGACCAAAACGAAGCGGTCCAACATAGCGCGAAACTCGGTGGTCATGGACGCCTGAAAGGTGGCCGGGGCATTGGTGAGGCCAAAAGGCATAACTACCCACTCAAAATGCCCATATCGCGTCTTAAACGCGGTTTTGTACCGATCTTGCGGGCGAATGGAAATCTGATGGTAGCCCGACTTGAGGTCCAACTTGGAAAAGTACTTGGCGCCGCCCAACCGCTCAAGCAAATCGTCAATGCGAGGTAGAGGCCCCGCGTTCTTGATGGTTTGCGCGTTGAGGCGTCGGTAGTCAATGCAAAGTCGAAGGTCCTTGTTCTTCTTCCGAACGAAGAGAACGGGCGCACCGTAAGGTGGGCTGCTAGGGCGGATCCAACCCTTGTCAAGTAGATCGTCGAGTTGCGCACGGAGAACCGTGAGCTCCTCCTCGGACATGCGATAAATGTATCCCATCGGTGGCACGGCACCGGCCTCAAGTATGATCTCGTGAGAGATTGGCCGGTCCGGCACTATACCGGAGGGTGTCTCCAAAACATCCAAGAACTCGTATAACAACCGGGTCACACGGGGGTCGGAAGACACATCCGTGGAYAATGAATCGGTCGTCGGGACGGTTCGAAGAAAAGCGATGCCAATCTCTTCGACATGCTCGGAACGGCATGTGTCTCGAAAAGATTTGGCACTCACGACTTGGCACCGAATGGAAGAGCGAGGAGGAGGAATAGTACACGGGACCTCGGCGCCAGTTGCATCACGAATCGTGAGTGTGCGTCGATGGAAATTGACCGTGTGGTCCGCGCAAGAAAGCCATGGCATCCCCAAAATGACATCGAAGTCGGTGTCCAACACGTCAAAAGTGACGGGTTCACATGCGTGCGGTGCAAAGTA